AGTCTGAATTGAGTGTTCTATGTTAAATATGTACCAGATTTGGAAGATTTTATGAAAAAAAAAAGTAAAATATCTCATTAACAATTTTTAAAAGATTGACCGCACGCTGAAATGATATTTTGGCTATACTAAGTTAAAGAAAATATATCATTAAAATTAATGTCACCTACTTCTTGTTATTTTTTTAATACGGCTACCAGAAAACAAAATTACATATGTGGCTCACATTATATTTCTATTGAACAGCACTGTTTAGAACGATGGACAAGTTCTATATCTTGAGGTATTGAGTAATGGGTGTATACATTTGTTAAAATTTATCAAACTACAGACTTAAGATTTGTGATTTTACTGTATGTAATTATACCATAAAGCCCCATGATCTTTCCACCACTCACCATAACCTTCCTGAAGGAGTCTACAGCCTACAAAGGACACAGGTGACAAAGAGCTCCCAAGTGGTGACAGCTACAATAAAGATTTGAGCAAGGTACTCTATTTTGGTGGAAGCTTCCATTCTTAGCATCTCGAATAAAACCACTGGTGTATGTGTGTTTGTGTGTACCTAGAGACAGTACGCAGGAAATCATTACTGAGTCTAGCAAACTCAAGAAGACAGAGGACGTTTCTGAAAGCATGAAATACGTGGGGTTGGGAGGCATCCATGCTGCAGGTCTTCCCTTGGGCTACTTGTTCGGAGCCCCTGGGGAAAGCACACAGGCATCAGGGTGGGGGCTGATTCAGGGCACTTGCCCCTTGATGGGATCACTAAGGCACACACAAGGTCTAGGTCTTAGCTTTCAAGGGACAAAACCCTCGATGTTCTCTGTTCACTCACAGAGGACTAGAGAGAACACCGAGATTCAGGAGGTTAGGAGGCGTTCACAAGGGATCAAATACAGTCAGACTTCACGTAAGTATGAAGGCTTCAGCTTGCAACCACAGCCCTCTCAGATTCAGAATCAGGCTGGATGCCCAGCCTCCTTAGGAATCACAGAATGTCTGCAGAAATGAATGGAGAGTGCTTCTCGTCCAAGCGGCCTATTTTACAAAGAAACCAAGGTCCAGAGAGATTGAGTCATTTGCTCTAAAGCCCTACTGAGCTAGAAGTGGTAGGGCTGGGATTTGCTTCCCTGTCATCTGACTCCCACATGGAGAAACACTCCCATGCCAACGACATTCACAAAACATGATTCCCAAGCTAGAAAGACAACTTGTTTATTTCCCAAGGGAGAGGGACCTGGCAGAATTGTTGGGACCTGTCATTTCTCAGGACACTCCCCTCGCAAGGCCCACTCAAGAGATGAAATTACATGCTGTACTTTGGTTTGTTCAACATATGATCAGCGAAAAAAACAAAAACAAAAAACCCAGCCCTTTATCTCAACAGTCAGCATAAGCACAGGCCAGTCAATATACCCAGCCCCAGCCGGGTTCAGACAGTTGACCCTGCCAGAACTGTCTTCCTCCAACTCTACAGACAAGGTTACTAAAATGTAGGCCTTGGGGTCACGGTAGGAATTTGCAAGGCCATTGTTACATAAGCACTCATATTATACTCATATAATAGCTCATTACTACAATGGGTTGAAAATTTCCTGGGCACCAGGCTGTAGGTTAAGAATTTTCTTAGGTAACCTCATTTAACCCTCACAACACTCTTTACACATGAGAAAAGTCAAGTTCAACTAAGTCCCAAAGCTACCAGCTAGAAAGTGGTTCATTTGGACCCAGATTTTCTGGCTCCAAAGTTTCTGTCTGTAGATTGAATAAAGAAAATAATGTGGGGTAGATTAGGAGGGCTTCATACCCTCCTAAAGGCTTCTTACATCAATCTACAGCCCTATGGTTGGAGGGATCAGGCTCAAAGCCCAGCCTCTTTAGAAGTCTTCCCTAATCCCATTTCCACCAATCAGATTCTTCCCAGCTTTGATTGACATTCTCCATGGTACAGCACCCTTTCTGCCTTGAATTGGAGAGTCTATGGCTTCCCCCATAGATCCCATTTAGGCAAAGAACTCCGTGGAAACGAGTTCATCCATCTTTGTACACCCCACTGCACCCTCCACAGCAGACTGCATACCTACTACGTGCAAGGCAGAAAAGGGTAACTAATACCAATTTGTACCATTTACTGATTACAATGCCCAAGTTTATGGTTTATTTTCCAGTGTTACATTTAGGCTGGAGGATGCCCTGAGTAATGTATAGGTATAAGCATTACCAAATCATTTATTAATCATCTTTGGGGGATTATGGGAAGAGTCTCTTTTCTGTAACTATTACAGTTTTCACCCAAAACATTTCCTGGCTTAACACAATCTTCTCATATAGGGACAGCATTTTATAGTTTCTGATACTGGTCCCATCTGACTACAGCTATCCCCCTGGAGGGTGGCCCATGAAGCCCACTTATGCCTCTGCCCCTACCATTAGCATCAACTCACTGGAGCCCAGCTCTGAGCACCACACCCAATTCCAAGAGGTTTAGGCCACTGTTCCTTCTGTCTTTCCCAGCTCCAAGTGCTCCCAAAACCCTGAATGCAGCTGCCTCACAGGCTAGCTTTAGAGGTCAGGAGGAAGCCTGCTCGTCTCGGGATCATCAAGGAGTCAGCATTGGATTCCTCTCTCCAAGGCTCCCTGAGGCCTCAGACTAGCCCATCCACCTTCCTCTGGGAAGGGGAGGTGTGGACAAGGGGAAGATGTTGGTGGTTCAGGAAACTTGGAGAGCAACGGACAGCTTCTTCTTTCCTTCTGGGGGAAAAGGCTCTGGACAGCCTTGACTTCGATGGAGAAGGGAGGATCCAGCAGATCCAAGGACTGGACTTCTGGCTGGGCAGAGGCTACCATCTTGGCAATTGGCCAAGAGAGAGAACCTGGTGCAAAAAGGAGGCCACTGAGGAGAGAATCCTTTCCTACTTTCATATCAGTTGGAATTCCTACTCAGACACCATGTGAAGGTTCTCAGGGAACAGCCCTGCCCCAAAGGAAAGGCAGAGAAGAGCAAGCCTTTGTCAATCCAGCAAGCAGGTAGCATAAGTGACACTTGCCAGGCTCAGAAGTTGGGTAAGGTACTCAAGATCATGCATCGAGTAGGTGGAGGAGCCAGGGCTGTGACCCAAGGCAGTCTGGCTTCAAAGTTCTTGCTTTTTCCTAACAGGCAAGACTGGGGGTATGGGGAGTAACAAGCCTGGGGTGTTGGGCGGCAGGAAAGCAGGCTTTATGTGAATAGATCAGAAAGAGCAGAGAGCTGAAGTCCAGGAGCTTTCCACACCATGGCACTTGGAACATCGGGTAGTGATCAGCTTGACTCATCGTTTCCCCCCAGACTACAAATTCCTAGAGGACTAGGTTCTATGGGTTCTATAGCCACAGCACCCACCAGGTGCTTGACATGACATGTTCTCAGGAATATCCGTTGAATGCTTGAGACTCTTGAGGTTTCTGAAGGAGAAAGTAGGAGTGAAATCAGGCCAAACCACCATAATCAGCAGGTAATGGTTCAAGCACAAGGAATGGAAGGAATTAGGCCAAATGCTCAGGAAGTCTTATCCCTGGACAAACAGATCTGCTCCCCACACTAAGTCAGACTTCCTCTGAGGCCTGGTGCCCCTATTCTGAGGTTGCGGGCCTGTAACAGGTAAGGGACCTGCTTTGCTTATCCACAAAGAAGTCAAAGGTCAGGCATGTTGCCAGGTAGCGAGAGGTAGCCTAAACACGGTACAAAAGTGTAGCATCATGAAACATGTACACTTTTGGAGGTAACTTTTCTTAGAGCCCTCACAGTCTAAGGGGGTCCCCAGGAGTCCAGAGGTGGGGCTTGGAGGCTAGTGGGTAGCGATGGCGGAGCTTGCCTAGGGAGGACCTGGGAGGTAACGAGTGACAGAGCTAGAAGAGAACCCAGCTCTTTTCATCAGAGTCCCATCAGCTAATCAGCCTTCAGCCATTGGGTTTTAGAAAACAAGGCATAGCAATCTGAAAGCCTTGCATGCTTTCTAGTTTTCGGGAACCAGCAGGTTCAAAACATTGTGATCTTGGAGTTCTAGTCAAAAGAGGAGTTTGCATCTCTCTCCAACTCCCCACAACCAAAATTTTCTTTTTTTAAACCAAACAGTTCTCTCATTTGAGAAGATTCTTTGGCTTCTCCTCACTTTTCCATGCCCAGGCAGGCCCACACCTCACCTGGTGTCCAAAAACCATGTCCTGACCCCAGACTTAGTCCCTGACCCATGTGGGTGGCAGGATAGGCTCAGCGGTGTGCAGGCCCCCCCACCCCCACCCCCACCCCCACCCTCCGGTGCCGAAGATAACAACCACCACTGAAAACATCAGTGGGGGACCTCAACTCTGCTTAACCAGTACACTTTCACATTTGCAAACTTACAGGAAGGCAGCGTTACTTATGATACTGCTATAGAGGCAGCAAAGCTACTGGGAACACATCCTCCACCAGCCAGCCCCGATCCCACCCTTTTGCCCTGAGGACAGAAGAAAACAGGCCCAGCAGGTAGCAAGGAGCAAAAGCAGTGTTTGTCAGCAGCTGGTGAGAAGGGAGACTGCTGAGCTCAGCAGCCTGGGAAGGGGCAAGATCGGGCTGAAGATCTGTAAGTTTATCCCTGAAGGGGGTCCAGCTCAGAGGCAGTGTCCTGGGGACAGAGCCAAGGCCTGCCCTGCCCCTCCCCCTCAAGCTAGACTGCTAAAGGCCCACACTCCTGGTCCCGTGAAGGGAAGAATCTAGAGTCCTAGACCAGAACCCGCACTCAGGGCAGGGTCACTGCCAGCCCCGAGCCGCAGCCCCAATCTGCGTGGGCCAGGCCAGCATTTCCTGTTGCCTAGGTGCTAGACGCGGGTTACCTACTCCCCAGAGCGCGCCATCCAGACGTGCGGCAGCCGTGGGCCTCCCAGCCCGAGTGGGATCGGCCCCCAGCGAAGCTCTGCAGGACCCCGAAGAGCCCCTCTCGGGGGACTGGCCCGTCCCCTCTGTTCCCCGGTCCGCATACCTGAGGGGACGGACGCCCTGCCACCTCGCTTCCTGCCAACCCCGGGAGAGGACAGCCCGGGCCCCCAGCACCCCTGGGCTCCGGGCGCACAGCCTCCCGAGGCGTAGCATCCAGACGTAGACAGCCATGGCTCGCTAGGCCCCGCGTCCCAGCCGGAGTAAACTTTTGAAGTGAGCCGAGGCGGGGCGAGCGCGGAGCAAGCGGGGAGGCGGGGAGGGTCGCCTCTGCCTATGGGGTGCGGAGGACTCGGTCCTGGCGGGGCGGGGCGGGGCGGGGCGGGGTGAGGCGTGGAGGAAGGGACTCCGCGCCGGGCACCTTCCTCTCGGACCCGAGGCCCTCCCCCTCCTGCCCTCGTAGAATTGCCCTGATTTCCCTCGGGATCCGAAGGCTCCGGCTGCAGCCCAAGGCAGATCTCCTCTTCCAACCACCGGGAACCTGGGTTTGGGGGCGCAAGAGCTTGCTTCTTGATTTCGTAGAGGGGCTGCTAGCGGTGCGTGACTGCGGGGCGGGCGGCGAGGCCCAGACGCGTCCACACCCGGAGCCAGGTTTGGCGCGCGGGTCACGTGCTGGCCCCCCGGGGTTGCGAGCCCGAGGCCAGGGGAGCCGGCGCTAAGCGCCCCTGGGGCGTGCCAGCTGGAGCAGAGGGCTGGCGGCAGGTGGGGAGGCAGCCAGGACAAAGGGTGCGGCGGGGGAGCCTTCTCAGGGGCCCGCGGGGGTGGGCCGAGTCCCGGCTGCGGCCAGAGGTCAGCTTCAGAAGGGACGCCAGTTGGTAGCCCCATCTCCCACGCAGCAGCTCCCATCCCTCCTCCTGGGCCTCTGCCTTGCCCTGCCGTGCACCATAAGGTGGAGTCAGGGATTGGAACCTGTGTTTCTCATCCCCGTCTACCGGCCCTAGCTCAGCGGGCCCCGGTCCCTTGCGCTGCCCTGGGCGCAAACAAAGGACCTTACGGAAGGCTCAGCCCACTGTCCTTCTCGCTCTCCCTCCAGCCCTCCTTATGGTCCCCTGAGGCCCAGGTGTGGGTGCGGTGCTAGGACCTGGACAGAGCTTCAGGAGTACTGACTGCCCATCTTTGGTGCTGGCTGGGAAAGGTGGCCCTGGGCACATGTGCCAGATTCACATGGAGTCGGTCTAGCCTTGACCCTTCCTCCAGAGGAGGAGGGGGAGACCAATGGGGGAAAGGCCCTGGCAGGGTGACCTCCCTTCTCCTGACCCAGAGGTGGTGATGTAGGTGGGCCAGGCAGAAGGCCTGGCTAAGCGTGGTGCCTGGCATGAGAAGACCTTTGCCCTTATCTGGGAACTCTGGCTTCTGTGAGGTCGTGAGGAGACTGCGCTGCTCCTCTTTGTGATCCTAAGAGTGACAGCGGATCCCCCTGAAACCCTGGTTCCTGGGGAGAGTCTCCACACTTCAAATTGTGTGTCTAAGGGGCGGGAAGGAAAACAAAGAAGCAGAGAGATTATGAGGAGCTGGGCTTGCAATGGCATGCCTTCCTAATTAGACTAACTCACTGACTCTGAGCCTGGGCCAGAAATGTGGGGCCCTGGGGTGTCTCCAAGTCCAGGGTATGAGCCCTGCCTGGCATGTTCTGCCACCACCTTGCTGGGTGACCTTCGGAAGTCCTTTGTGCCTCTCAGGGCCTGTGAAGTGAGGCATGGAGACTGATCTCACAGGCCCCTCCACTTTCCTCGCTAGTTTGAAGGTCAGCCTGGAAGAAGGGAGGAATGAGTTGCTCCTTGGACTTTGATCCAGCCTCGGCTCTCCACACTCTGGCTTTCCTGACTTCCCAGACACACACGTGTGAAATCATGGCCTCCAGTTTCAGGATGATCTCCCACCTGTCAGGCTCTTCAAGGATGCAGTTTCTGGCCCTCACAATCACCCTGCAAGGGACAGGTGTGCCTTGGAATGTGTCCCTGTTTTCATGGATGAAGAAACTGAGACCTAGAGAGGTTCAGCTACTTGCCCAAGGTCAAGGTGGGCACAGTGAACACAGGCCAAGGGTCTTCCCGTACTCAACTTTGTGGCTTTGGGCGAGGCCACTCCAGCCTCAATCATAGTCTTTATAATGGGCATAATAATACCAGCCTCATGCAGAGGGTTGGGGTGAGGATTGAGCAACGTGGCACAGAACTGGCACTTGGCCAGCTTTCAGTGACTGTTTCTTTCTCTATCCTCTCCTTCCTCCTGTGTCTACACTCAGACCTTCCTCTGTGTTAGGTGTTGCAAACCATTTATAGGAGGAGGAATTAGTTTCCATCTCTGCAAAGCCTTCAGAGGGCTGGTAGGCACTGGTTCCATGGAGAGGGAGGAGGGCTGGGAGAAAGGGGAGTGACGAGGCCTCACTGGGGAGTTCCTGAGTCCCAGTAGCAGATCATGTTGGCCAGAATTCTTGGGGACCACTTTGAGGGAGAGGGAGCAGGGCACACCGGCCATCCAGGTCCTTCAACTTTCCTCCCTCTCCCTTCACCAACTCCACTCCTCACTGCTCCCCAAGGGGCTTTCTGCCCAAGTGGAGTACATGTGCTGCATGCTGCACACGGTCCCTGGGATTTTGCTTATGCCATTGTCTACCCTCAGAAAGCCCTCAGTCCCTCCCCTTTGCCAATATCCTTCCCTTCTGTGCTTCAAAAATGAGCTTAAAGTGTAAACACCATTTGTTGAGTTTTTAAATTCTTAGATCAGTCTACGAATAAAGTCCAGAAGACTTTGTCACAACTAGGGAACAGAGTGTAAATGCTGTGAACCTTGGAAGTCACACCTGACAGTAGGTGAGGACAAGAGATGGGGAGTGGAGGCAAATATTCTTACCTTAGAAACTGAGATGTTGAGAGATCCTGTCCACCAATGATGGAACATGAAATCAAAGAGTATGCTATTTAAAGTTACAAAGTTATTTAAAGTGTATTTACAAAGTATTTAAAGTTATTTAAAGTGTATGTACAAAAATAACAATAAACTATATTAGGAGGACTTGAGGAGGAGAGGTGGGAGTGCAAATCCTTACCTATCAAGTGGGAAAACAAGAAATGGCTCAATAAGTATATTATTTAGAAGTAAATAACAGAAGAAGATAAAACAGAAATGGTTAAAATAGTTCAAAATGGTTCCCTTTGGACTTGAATAGACATTTCTCCAAAGAAGATATACGAATGGCTAACAAACACAAGAAAAGATGCTCAACATCACTAGTCATTAGGGAAATGCAAATCAAAACCACAGTGAGATACCACCTCATACCTATTAGGATGGTTACTATTGGGGCCGGCCCTGGGGCCGAGTGGTTAAGTTTGTGCGCTCCGCTTTGGTGGCCCAGGGTTTTGCTGGTTCGGATCCTGGGCAGGGACCTAGCACCGCTCGTCAAGTCATGCTGAGGCGGCATCCCACATAGCAGAGCCAGAAGGACCTACAACTAGAATATACAACTATGTACTGGGGTGCTTTTAGGAGAAGAAGAAGAAAAAAAAGAAGATTGGCAACAGATGTTAGCTCAGGTGCCAATCTTAAAAAAAAAAAAAGGTGCAATAGAGATGTGGTAAGTCAGGGGAAAGTCTCCAAATTTGTTTTTTTTTTAAAGATTTTATTTTTTCCTTTTTCTCCCCAAAGCCCCCTGGTACATAGTTGTATATTCTTCGTTGTGGGTCCTTCTAGTTGTGGCGTGTGGGACTCTGCCTCAGCGTGGTTTGATGAGCAGTGCCATGTCAGCGCCCAGGATTCGAAGCAATGAAACACTGGGCCGCCTGCAGCGGAGCGCGCGAACTTAACCACTCGGCCACGGGGCCAGCCCCTCCAAATTTGTTTTTTTTAAAAAAGGCAGTTACTGTCAACAAAACAGAAAACAACAACTGTTGGTGAGGATGTGGAGAAATTGGAACCAAAGTGCATTGCTGATCGGAATGTGAAATTGTTCAGCCACTGTGGGAGACTGTAGGGCAGTTCCTCAAAAAAGTCACAACAGAATTACCACATGATCCAGAAACTCCACTTCTGGGCATCTACCCCAGAGAGTTCAAAGTAGGGGTTGAACAGACATTTATACACCAGTGTTCATAGTGGCATTATTCATAACAGCCAAAAGGCAGAGACAACCCAAATGTCCATCAATCAACAAACGGATAAACAGAATGTGGTATATTTCTATATATACAATAGAATATTATTCAGCCTCATAAAAAAGGAAATTCTGACACATGCTACAACAGGGATGGACCTCAAAGACATTATGCTGAGTGAAATAAACCAGACACAAGGACAAATACTATATGATTCCACTTATATGAGGTCCCTAGTGTAGTTAAATTCATAGAGGCAGGAAGTAGAATGGTGGTTACCGAGGGCTGGGAGATGGGGAATGGGTAGTATTTTTTGTGTGTGGGCACAGAGCTTTAGTTTGGGAAGATGAAAAAGTTCTGGACATGTATGATGGTGATAGTTGCACAACACTGTGAATGTACTTAATGCCACTGAACTGCATACTTAAAAATGGTAAAAATTTTTTTTTTTTTGAGGAAGATTAGCCCTGAGCTAACTGCTGCCAATCCTCCTCTTTTTGCTGAGGAAGACTGGCCCTGAGCTAACATACACGCCCATCTTCCTCTACTTGATACGTGGGACGCCTACCACAGCATGGCTTTTGCTAAGCGGTGCCATGTCCGCACCCGGGATCTGAACCGGGGAACCCCGGGCTTCCGAGAAGGGGAACGTGCGAACTTAACCGCTGCGCCACCGGGCCGGCCCCAAAAATGGTAAATTTTGTTTATATCTATTTTGCCACATACATACAAAAAATGTTCTCTGTAGAGCATGGGACTGCGAGGAAGGGTGGGGCAGAGAACTGCTGCATTTTGTTAAAAAGCCTTTTTCTTGTCTTATTTTCCTACAACAGGGTACATGTTTTATCTTGATACAGTGTTTTCTCTACAGGCCGAGGGAGGCATCCTGGCTTGTGCCATTGATCATTTACAGGGACCAGCATGTTTTGTGAGGTTTTTACTGTAAAGCAAATTGTGCAAAGGGCTTCCACTGCCCTTCAGTCAGTCGTGGAGTCAGATCTGGGAAGAAGCCAGCTCTGCTTTTTCTCTCAATGACCTTGAGCATGTTTCTTTTCTTGTGTAATGTTTCATAGCTCTTTGTTGTGTTTGACTGTTTCCAAGTAGTGTATGAAAAATGTCCCTTTTAA